TGATTAGAATGTGGTAGATTCGATGTTCGAATTGCAAGGTGGTCCACTTGTTAAAGTAACCTTGGGAATCAGAACTTGGAAAGTAACCTTTGAGACCATGCCCTCAGAATCAAAACTTCCTTCTGGAAGTTCCTATCCTCTAGGTAGAGTATTTTCCAACGCACATGATTGAAGCGATTTACTTACATTCATGAGATTAATTAAGCCAAAAAATTCATATATGTTATTCGAACAAATAATAAAAAGCTAAAGTCTCTACAAAGTAGAGTGCCTAGTTCTCACTCATTGTGGGGAGGTTGCCATGGAAGGAATACTTTTTTTAAAGACTATTAACCCTCTGTATGACCAATTAAGTGTTAAACATTTTGACAATTTGTTAATTTAGTCATTCCGATCAATTTTGATCAGAAATCGTTGACATGGACGATGACTATCCTATATGACATGGCTCGCATTGACGTGGACAATATTTATAATTTTTAAAAAAAATTGATTTCTATATGAGAAGAAGGAACAGATGAAAGGAAAAATGCTATTTCTCTTTACATCCATCTCATTTGAGTTCTATTTTGCTCTTTCTTTCTTTTTTACGACTCTTTACTTTTCTCATTGTGCTTATACATATTGACATACCTTATATAGGAAATGTACACATCAAGGTATTTCTAGAGGTAATATGGGAAATGTATTCTAGATATTTCTTAGTATTAGATCTCCACCATTAAATCAATAAGAGATCTAACGGCTATAATGGGGAGGCCTCATACATAAATAGGGGTACTCTCTCTTTATTTGTATAATCCAACAATTGAGCAATATAAGTAAATTCTCTCTCAAATCTTCTCTCTCTAAACTCTCTATGATCCGGACGTTGATATTCCTGTTCAACATTGAAATGCATTAGCTGCTGGTCTGGTATTGAACAATCATTTGTAAATTGGCTTCTGCGCTCTTTTTCTTGGTGAGGAAGATAGATTGAATTAAGGCTGACCATTTCTATGATGATTTTTGTGTAGGAAGATTTTTTGGGTTGTTGCTTCTTTCGTCTGCAGAAACAGATGTCTTCCTTGATACGTTTGTACAAGCACCATAATACTTAACATTTTGCAGTCTTGTTTGTTGGAATTTCGGTATTTTTGTATCATGGATTAAAAAAGTGAATTTCGGTATTTCCATTTAGAAACAAAGACTTGGTAGTGAGAGAATGGCGGCTAGCGATTCCGGTCACGAGAGCACTCCTCATTTAGCGATGGAGAGCCCGACACCGAGTCAGTGGGATTAGCCGCCGGAGCATCCGCAGCATGTGACGGCGGATTCTATGGTGGCGAGGAGAAGAGGATGCTGAACATCATGGATGACACGCATGATGAAGTCACGATGTCTCCAAGAGAAGCTGAGGTGCCTTATCCTTCATGCGTTTTTTTATTTGGTTAGACCTTCATGATTTGTTAGGGCTTATTCGAGCGCAGAGTTGAATTGCCGTTTTCTGTTTGCTTTGGATAACAAAGCGAGTGATTTATTATGTTGGGCAATACATGTTATCTTACGTGCCGGTAGCATAAAAAATGTGTAAATTGGCTTATGCGCTCTTTTTCTTGATGGGAGATAGATTGAATTATCATTGATATTCGAGGTTGGCCATTTTTATGATGATTTCTGGATAGGAAGATTGAAGTTTTTTGGGTTGTTGCTTCTTTCGTCTGCAAAAACAAATGTCTTCCTTCATATGTTTGTACAAGCACCATAATACTTGACATTTCGCAATCTTGTTTGCTGGAATTTTGGTATTTTTGTATTATAGATTAAAAAAACGAATTTCGATATTTCCATTTAGAAACAAAGGCTTAGTAGTGAGAAGATCCGGTCACGAGAGCATTCCTTAGCTGGCGATGGAGAGCCCGACACCGAGTCAGTGGGATCAGCCGCCGCAATATTCGCAGCAGGTGGCGGTGAATTATGTGGTGGCGACTCAGTGGAATTGACATGACTGATGTGTTTTTATCGATTCCTAAATAATAAAACATTTTGTAGTCATTTTCAAGTAATTCTGATGATTAAATTAAATGGTAAAAATGAATATAATAATATGACGCAACATGAATTGCCATTCCTATTTGAATGACGATTAATTCGAGATACATGGGGAAGAAGGAACAGATGAAAGGGGAAATTGCTACTTTTCCTTACATCCATTTCATTTGAGTTCTATTTTGCTCTTTTTTTTTAACAACTCTTTACTTTTCTCATTGTGCTTTATACATATTGACATACCAAATAACACATACGTGTCGTCAGATAAAGGTCAACCCACGCCCTAAATCAAGCACGAGCAAGCAGAGATCTTAAGGACTTACGAAAGAATTGGTCGGTCTCGTCAATTCGTTTTTGTGCTCTCATTAGTCTTATCATAGGGCAGTGGTGGACAATGTCAAGTTCCTCATTTTTAAAACCTAGAACTTATCATGTATACCCTGGAACCTCAAACTTATCATGTCACAGGTTCTACGGTCGGTTTCAGGATCTACTTAGGTTCTACCGTATTTTTAATTGAATGATTACAGTGAATCATTACTTGTCGCTACAATCCACTATCACAACTTATATTTAGATACACAAAGAATATGAAACGTCAACAAGACAAAAATCTCAGTCATATAATAAAAGCTCAGACTAGTAGTTCCGAATGAAATACTCATTATCGGACATAATGGAATACCGTAGGATCATGCAAAGACAGAGATCAATAAAAACACAAAACTTATTCCAAGTTCACCTACTTAGAACTTACCCGTCGAAATGAGTTTTTCAATTTTTGAAATTTGAAACCTACGCTGTATACCTTAAAACTTTGAACCATATAGGTTCCCATTGATCCGGTTCTTCCAAGTTTTACCCTAAAATCATACTCATCTCCATAACGATGTGCCTTCCACCTCGAACAACTAACTCAATGAAGGCTTAGCCAGAGGCTAGAGGAAGATTCCCAACTTCTTTAAACCATATTTCTTGAAAATCAACTAATTTTAAAGATGTTGATTGAATGGTCAAAGTGTTTAATTCGAATGCGGTAGATTTGAAGTTGGAATTGCATCGTGCTCCACTTATTAAAGTAACCTTTGGAATCCGAACTTAGAAAGTAACTATTGAGACCGTGCTCTCATAATCAAGACTTCCTTTTGGAAGCTCCTATTCTGAAAGTAGAGTCTTTTCCACTGCGAACGATTGAAGCAATTTATGTACATTCGTAGAGATTAATTAAGCCAAAAATTCATATATGTTATCCAAAAAAAAAATAGAAACAAGCTAATTAAAGCCTCAACAAAGTAGAGTGCCTAGTTCTCGCTTGTTGTAGGGAGGTTACCAAGGAAGGAATACTTTTTTTCAAGACTATTAACCCTTTGCATGACCAATTAAGTGTTAAACTTTTTGATAATTTGTCAATTTAGTTATTCCGGCCAATTTTGACTGGAAATCGTTGACATAGATGCCGACTGTCCTACGTGCATTGCTTGCGTTGACGTGGAAATTTTATAATTTTTTTTTATTTTTGTTCTCTTTTATTCTTATTTCTTTTTCTTTCTTTCTTTTTGTGTTTTTTCTTCTAAGCTTAGCGAGCATTGTAGCCCTCGCCTAGGCCGCAAGGGTTAGCCAGCAACCCTCACCGGACTTCTTGGAAAAAAAAGGAAAAGAAAGAAAGAAAAAAGAAAATAAAAATTATAAAAAAGTCCGAAAATTTTATAAAAATTTAGAATTTATAAAAATAGTCAACGTTAGCACCAGCCATCCTACATGGCTTTGCCAGCATCCACGTAAGTGATATCTAGCCAAAATTGGCCAGAATGAGTAAATTGGCAAATTATCAAAATATTTATGTTCAAATCAGACAAATCGAAAAGTTTAAAGCTGAATTAGCACAAATACAATATGTTTAACATTTTTTAAATAATTTTCCCCATGAATAGTCTCCCCATACTTATACTTAAATCAACACATCTTAGCTTTGGCTTGGTTTAATAAAGAAAGGAAGGAAATTGGACATAACTAATTTCCCTTCGAGCCAATATTTTGTTTTCTCCCAAAAGTTGGAGAAAATGGAAACTACCCCTGCAAGCATTTTTATTTGCGAAACTGTCCTTTGGATAAGACGAAGTTTATTCCATTTATTGCTCACTTTATTTCTCTCTACACCATTTCTCTTTACTACACATTTAAACAAAAATGAGAAATCATGATTCCCTCCCCAATACATTGTACAACTCCAGGAAGCTTTAGAAGAAAATAGAAATGAAGTTTTAGAGGAAAGAGAAAAACAAAGCTATAAAAAGGGCTCGAAGGAGCTTCCGAGATGAAAATCTGAACTCTACTTGACCCGGTCTGGAACATTGATTTTTGTTTTGAAATTGACATGAGTGATATGTTTTTACTGATTCTTAAACGATAAAACATTTTGTAGTCATTATGAAATAGTTTTGATGATTAAATTAAACGGTAGAAACGAATATATGAATTGCCATCCCTATTTGAATGACAGTGAATTCGAGATACACAAGGAAGAAGGAACAAATGAAAAGAGGAAATGTTATTTCTCCTTACACCCATTTCATTCGAGTTTTATTTTGCTCATTTTTTTGCGGCTCTTTAATTTTCTCATCGTGCTTATAAATATTGACATACCAAATAACACACGTAGATGTTACTCTACTCGAAACTTATAAACGAGTGAAAATTATAAACTAGAAATACTAAATTACCAAGTAAGAAAAGGCTGCTGTTATTTGGCAAAACAAATTGGCTAGCAGCATCAAAGAAGAACTGGCGAGAGAAGGTTTCGTTTCGTTCAGCAGCGTCGGACGGTCAGATTCTAGCCACGTGGACAATCCCTCCGCGTGGCCAAAGAGGACGGGAGGAGGGGGGGCCCACCCGATCATTGGACCCGCTTCGGGACTTTCAAATTTCAAAAAAAAAAATTCCCCAACGGTCAATCACGACCCCTACTTCCCTTTATCGTTTGCGCGTGACGCGATCAACGCCTTCCCGAATGGGAAGATCTTGCCTCCTACCCTTCTTCCTGATCTCCATCATCATCCATCTCTCGAGTAAAGAAGAGATCCATCCAAAAAGCAGCTTCGTTTCTTGAACACCCTTTTGATTGCTCATCATTTTCAAACGGTTCTCCGCTCCTTTTTGCTTTTTCTTTGATCCGATGGAAGACCATCAATGGGGTGACCCGCTTTTGCTCACCGACGTTTCTTGCCAGCAGCAACAGCATTCCGTCTCCTCTCACAGTGAGTTTTCAACAACCCCCGAAACTAAATTTCCATCTTCTCGATCTTCGGAACACTTTGCATTCTTGCTCCGCTCCTGCGATTCACGGGATCCGCTTGTTAATGGGCTAGGCATTTCGAATTCATCCTCCGCCAGCTACCGCGTTTCCGAAATGGCGGGTCTTGATTCGCGTTGCGATTCTAATGACGGTATATTTTTCCTAGAGTTTCATCTACATTTTTACAAGTGGGTGTTTCGAATGTGGCCATCCGCTCAAAGTTTGATAGTTATCTTTCCCTCCCTTTTGAGTGCTTAAATGTTTGCTTGATATAGATGTGGGTTGGCAAGATCGAAGCGTCGAAACAAGCTGTGTAGAAAAATTTGGCAAGCCGGCTGCTCATGGTGCAGGTGACTAAGAAAGGAAGAGGAGTAACTCTTGCATATTTCTGCAATGAATGGTTAAGCTGACTATTTTGTATGGGATCGTAGTGCAGTCGATCTAATTTATGGGTTGGTGCAGGTTCTTCGATGTTGGGGTTTTCGTTGACCTCACCTGATCTGGTCATCTGTGCCGGTTCGCCGGATATTCCCAGCAGCAGCGGATTTGGAGATTCTCCTGTGTTCTTGGATAAGAACAACTGCTCACAGAATCTGGAGCATTCTATTGAGCTTTCACTGGAAAACTGCATTCCAGAATCTGAAACCAAAGTAAATAGCAGAACTCCAGTTGTGAGGTTTTCGACAGTGTGTCAAACTTTTAGTCAAGTTTCGTCTCCTGAAAGCTCCTTCGAGCTTCCTCCACCGCCAATGAGTGAGGACCTTGAGATGATTGGCCCCCTTCCTGCGGTACAAACCAATTCGGGCTCCCATAGTGTGACCGCGATTGGCACTGAAACTGATGGAGCGGCAAGACCTGACTTACCTGAGGTATTGCCTCTTGTGAATTTTATCCGTTCAGCTATATAAATGACCAGACTGACAAACTAGGTACTGACTGGAAATTTCTTAATTAAATTCGTTGAGGACGATGGCGGTTGCGAATTTGAAGGAGAGCTCCAGGAGTTAGTGAGGAGCTACAAAAGTCAAAAAAAGGAACTAATGGAGACAAGGAAGGCAATGGAAGAGCTTAAAAGAGAGAATCAACTGAAAAGCAAAGAATGCCAGGAGGCCTGGAAATCTCTACAGGAGCTTCAAAATGAGCTCATGCGCAAGTCAATGCATGTTGGGTCCTTGGGTAGGGAAAATTTCATTTTATCTGTGATTGTTGTAATTTCGAGAAAACTACTTGAGTTTTTCATGGACTTTTAAATGCAGCTTTTGCCATAGAGGGACAAGTGAAAGAGAAGAGCAAGTGTTTCTCTTCACTTAGAGACTTGACTAGAAAATTGAAGGTATCCAATTATTTGAGATGTGATTTTGGGTAGCAAAACTATGGTTTTATCATATTGAGAAAGTCAATTTGGCAGATTTTGAAAATGGAGCAAATTTCACTTTCTGAGGAGGCTTCAACGTACAGAAAGTGCCTTGAAGAAATGTTCCTTGAAGAAATGAAAGTTGTTGGCTGCACCATTCAGTCCACAAGTGAATTCCCTTCTACTCTCTCCAGCTATGCTTGTATTGCCGTCATCTTCTTCAACATCTTGTTTTTTGGCAGTTGATCAACAGACTAAATCACATGAGGATCTCATGATAAAGTTAGTTGAAGGGTCTAAACAACGAAAAGAACTTTACAATAAGGTTTTGGAGTTGAAAGGTTAGTTACTACTTTATCCCAACAACTATTGAGATCAAAAGGAAGCCCAGAGAGTCACCTCAATTTACACCTTGGCTTTTCTTACTTTCAGGAAACATAAGGGTGTTCTGTCGGTGTAGGCCTCTTAATGTTGAAGAAATTGACGCGGGAGCTTCAGTGGCAGTTGACTTTGAATCTTCAAATGAAGGCGAACTAACTATTAAGTCAAATGGTGCTTTTAGAAGGAACTTCAAGTTCGATGCTGTCTTTGGTCCCCAAGCGGATCAAGGTAATAAAATATCTGAAAACAAAGGGAATATTCCTAAAAATTTATATTAGAATTTGGCAATTGTTTATTATGTCTTCTGCATTTGTCATGTAGCGGATGTTTTCGAAGATACAGCTCCATTTGCCACATCAGTCCTAGATGGGTACAATGTTTGTATATTTGCTTATGGTCAGACTGGAACCGGAAAAACTTACACAATGGAGGGAACCGAGACAGCTCGTGGAGTCAATTATAGGACTCTAGAGGAGCTGTTTCACATAATCAGGGAGAGACAACAACTTTTTCAATATGACATTTCTGTTAGTGTTTTGGAAGTCTACAATGAACAGATACGAGATTTGCTTGTCCCTGGAAATCAGCCAGGAGTCCCTGCAAAGAGGTATGCACATTAATAAGATATTTATCGTATTAACCTTAAGATTTTCTGTAAAAATGCAAATTCTCATTTAAATTCTACGTTGATTGTAAACTGTTCCTTAGTCTTTGTGTAATCAGACATTCATTCATTTAATTGTCCTTCATTGTGACAAAACTTGAGAGAATAATACTTGGGATCTCTTAATTAAAGTAGCTACCTTTCTTGGCTAGGCTTGAGATAAGACAAGTGTGTGATGGAATGCATCATGTACCTGGACTGGTTGAAGCACATGTAAGCAACATGCATGAGGTTTGGCAAGTTCTACAGACAGGAAGCAATGCTAGAGCTGTTGGCTCAACAAATGCTAATGAGCACAGCAGTCGATCTCACTGGTCTGTTCTTTCTCCTATTTGTTCATCTCCTCAATAAGCATATGCTGATTATACATTTATGGATACGTGGTGTAATCATGCTCACTCCAAATCGTGGTTCTTTTATCTAGCATACATTGCGTGATGGTCAAAGGGGAAAACTTATTAACTGGAGAATGCACAAGAAGCAAGCTGTGGTTGGTGGACTTAGCTGGAAGTGAGCGGATAGCAAAGACAGAAGTTCAGGGAGAACGGCTCAAGGAAGCTCAAAATATCAATAGATCTCTGTCTGCACTTGGTGATGTCATATCTGCTCTTGCTACAAAAAGCCCACATGTTCCTTTCAGGTTACAGAAATACCTGTTTTAATCTTTTCGAGTCCGGCATGCCATTTGTACCTGATTTTGTCCTAACTTTTTTCTCCCATTTATTTGTGAAGGAACTCCAAACTCACCCACTTGCTTCAAGACTCTCTAGGTACCTATTTTACATGAAAAGTTGGCATTAACAAATTTAAAATTATTTGGCAGTAGCAGGGCCAGTAGTTGTGATAGAGCTTGCTTTTGTGTGCTCAATGTAAAGTTACCCTATTGCAAATACAATTAAGAACCGCGAGTTTCAACAATAGAAACTGAGTAACGTGAGAACTTTCTGTTTGTCAGGAGGAGATTCGAAGGCACTCATGTTTGTGCAGATCAGTCCTAATGAAAATGACTTGAGCGAGACTATATGCTCACTAAACTTTGCCAGTAGAGTTAAAGGCGTCGAGTTAGGTCCAGCGAAGAAGCAACTTGATGCTGCTGAATTTGTCAAGTACAAGCAAATGGTAACACAGATGTCCTGACTTACAAGTTTAATATACAAAGTCCTCTCTTTTTGCAGGGGGATGTGGTCCATATGGTTATGCATGTGTTTGTCATGTCACTGACTTGAATTTACTGATGCAATTCAAATGCCAGGTTGAGAAAACAAAGCATGATATGAAGAGCAAGGATTTGCAAATTAAAAAGATGGAGGAAACAATATATTGTCAGGATGCAAAAATTAAAGAAAGAGACCTTAAAAACAAGAATCTGCAGGAAAAGGTATAAAACTGCACTATTGCCTACTTGTCCAAGATAAGCTTGTCTGCTCACAACATTATGCATGTTTTCTTCTTGATAACTGTTGCGTGAAAATTTTGTGAACAAAGTTCTCAAGTTTCCGATCATTTTGATACTTCTACTTTGCAGATAAAGGAACTTGAGTCTCAGCTTCTCGTAGAGAGAAAACTAGCTAGACAGCACGTAGACACAAAAATAGCAGAGCAGCAGCAGTATCTGAAGCAGAAGGAGGAACAAAACTTGCAGACGAGGCCACCGCTCGCCAGTCGCCAACTGGGGAGCATCAAGGAAACCACGAGTTTCACAATAAGCAAAGACCAAACGAATCTCAGTCAACCCCTTGCGGATGATAACAGCTACGAGCCCGCATTAGTTCTCCCTGCTTCAGATGGTCATGCCAAGTACAATGATTCCATGGAAAAAGAGAACATTCCTCTCGTACTTGGACAACCATTGCTTCCAAAGAGGACAGGAAGATTCTCTATCTGCACGACAGCACGGCAAGTCCCCGTGGCCCCAGCTCCAAGGCGAAATTCTTTGATTCCATTGCCCTCGGCACCGAGTTCAACAACCCCTTGCCCAGCTCCATTATTGCCTTTAGAGGAATGTCTGCCTGAAAGGAATGAATGCGAGGACGGATCCGAGATGAACTGTTTGCCAGAGAAGATCCCCTGCCACAGTCCAAAAGGAATCCGAAGCGGGGGTAAGAAATTAAGCAGCGCGTTGCGAAGGAGCCTTCAAAAGAAAATGCATATGAAGTCGCCGATGAGAAAAGTTGGAGTCAATGTCGGAATGGAGAAGGTTAGAGTTTCTATTGGTAACAGAGGGAGGATCGGCTCGAGAATGTTCTTGGGAAGTAACAGAACAGCTAGAACCAAGGACATCCAGAATAAACAGAGTCATAGAGAGAAGGAGAGAGGATGGAACATCGGCACGGCGGGAAGAAATATCATTTAAAACAGAGACTATCGAGCTTGAGCTTGGCTTTTGTTCAAGTCTTTCGTTTTCTTTTATTTCTCATTTTCTGGTTGGTGCTTTATCATCCATGTTCTTGCACTGGCTGATAGCTTTCTTTATGTACAGAGCCACCATGTCAGGCAAATTGTTTATGATTCTCTGTCGCATTGCTGTACATGAGTTTCTAGATGCTACAGCAACCTTACACGGAGATTTGGTGAACAAGATTTGGCGTATGACAGTAGTGTTAGCGTGCGTTGTGTCTCCATGAACATATTTGATTGAGGCTTTTGATTCATGTAATCATCTTGATGCCGGGTTCCTAAGTCTTAGTTTAGATGACAGTACACCAGCCACAAAGTGAGGATCAATAGCCATTTAAATTCAGCGGCAAAATCTGAAAAATCAATGAGGCTACACTTGAAAATTGGCTTTCGATCTTGCATTTTATTTCAAACAGAAAATCTACTCAATCGCTCAGCTCTCGCAGTAATGGGCCGTCAAAGAGACTGTACATTGCTACATCAGCTTTCGCTATCCTAGTGATCGTCCTATATTTTCTCTGTGTCTCAGTTTTTGCTCTTGAATTCTCCTGCTTGTATTTGAATCGGAAGGGGGGTTTGGACAACAAGATGGTCAATATCAATCGACACTAGACACTGTCCAATGCTGGACGAGAAAGATCAAGAGAATCTTGCAAAAACCTGCCAAGCAACAGAAAATTAGTTTAGCAATCCTCAACATAAACAAAATGGCAAGCAAAATTAGATGATGATAATTGTGTCGAAAATCACATGGAGTACCAGCCCCTCGGAATTAATTTCCATAATCCATGCCATTTGGTCATGTCATGTGCAGCTGGATCAGAATGCTGCACTTTCCCAAGCTTCTCTGACAACATCCCCCTTTCATGGACAAATTGGACAGATTCGGAGAGCCGATTGAGCAGATTTACAAGAGCTATCACTTCATTTCTTTGCAATTGCACCTACAAAAATAGAGTTGGTCATGAAGATATGAGCAAGTGGGAATCATTAATTTGAGAAAATTAAGGGGCGTGGAGAAACCTACTGATGTATCCGGTTGGTTTTGACTGTCAACCGAGAAGAGGATCTTTAATGCAGTTCCAAGGCCAAGAACCTGAAGCTTTCCCCACAGTCGACACTTCTCACAGCCCACACAATCCATCAACGCACTGCAGTAAGGTCATGTGACGGAGTGTTTACTATGGAGAGAAAAAGAAGTTCTTTTTTCCTTTTCAAGGAAGGGGCGGGTAGATGAGGTTCGTGGGGCTAGTAATAAGGCGGGAAAGGCATGGTGAGAGGCTATGCAAGGCCTAATGCCACGGGAACAGTACCATCTATTGACTAGGCAACCAACCCTCGTTCTCAAACTTGCAACGTTCTGTCAGCTTTAAAAAGTTGAAACTAACCTAATATTTCTGAACTGCCTCTGAAGTGTCTGCCTCAATTGAGGTTCACTTTTACCCTTCCACAGCTTAGCCTCGTCAAACGGAAGAGGACAAGCAGCTTGTAGTTTGGGATTATAAAGCAACTGTTTCATTAAAACTAACGTGCTGGCATCCTTGGCAGGATTACCAGTATCATACTCTGCCACCTCCAGAAAATTAGCTGCCTAAGACACAAATTAAATATAGGTTACACAAAAGACAGGTCTTAGCTAAATGACAAAGGATTGAAAAGGAAGAAGGCCATGCGGATTACTATTCATCACTCACCTTAGTCACAGCACGAAGAACAAAAAGGAATGTGAAATACAAGTTTCCAACACGATCAGGATACCGCACAACACGATCATACATCACATCCAGATTTTCACCCCACTGAAATAGCAGATAGAGATGTCAGCTAAGGCTTTGAGCAGCAAACAATCCATAAACATTGCAAAACATTTTCCATCAAAGAACCAATATGATCATATGATACATACATATGCTTCTGGAAGATGTCCAATAAGAAGGGCCATAAATCCAGCTTATTGTTGCTAAAGATGTGGGTTTCCATTTTCAACTAACACAAAGAATTAGCCAGAACATGAAAGCTTGCTGGCTTTTTACAGCCTAATATTACTATTGAATGCCTTTAGAGGATCATGAATGCATAAGATGCAAAACAAAACAAATTTTCAAAGAAACGGTCCTGGTTGTGTGAATGAAACACTTAGGAAGAGAAATTTACTAATAGAGAGAACAAAGTAGCAGGGACGTCATGAAATGCCAACCATATTTGCAGCTTCATCTAGGAGGTAATCAGCAGCTATGTGGATTGATATCGAGGAGTGAAGACCAGAGATCAATTTGTATAACACCTTTTTTTCCTGACAAACCTCTCCTGAAGTATCTGTCAATAAACCATTGAATCTCATAATTACCGCAGACATGATTCAAATGAGCAAGGAAACATCAGATGACTGTCACAATAACAATGGTATTGGTCCACAAAGATGCAAAATCACCATGATGTTTTCAGAAGCTAAGGAAATTGCCTTTCTAAAACATTTCCAAAATGATGATGGAAAGAGGACAAGATGAATGGGCAATGTGCTATCAGCAAGGAACTCACACTTTGGACAATTCTCTGAGTAAATTGCATCCCATATCCTTCTAGCTGATGGACCTGTATAGCCGGTGTAACGCTCTGGGTTTAGGAGAAGGTTAACATATGTCATCTCACCTGAAAATGAAAATTTTTCAATATCGCCATCCACTTTTGAACAAACTTTGCAGATGAAGGTAACTTTGATTTTGAGGAAAATATCATATAGAGAAGCTGGGATTAAAATTTAGAAGCCTCGGCACATCCAATAAACAAATTTTGATGCATCCTAGAAAGACTTGGAACGGCCAAAGCAAATTCTACGTTCATGTTGCTAGGCTTGTGTGTAAGTATGCAGATACTTGCCGTCCCCCAAAGGAAATAAAAATATAAAATCTAGACCACTGGGGAGCAAGAAAGGCAAATGATAACTTCAAGCAACTGATGCCCAAGATTAAACAGTGTGCATTTGAAAAAAATAGTCATTTACTATTATCTGTGCACTCAAAACAAACTGTCACTTACTATTATCTGTTTCATCATCACTAGTCCAGGGGTTATCTGCTTCGATCCATCCTCTAAAAGTTCTACTATCCAATGTGCGGTCAACAATGGCTTGTGGCTTTCCCTCTTGACACTGTAAATTGTCAGATGGGAGATTGTGCTTCAAGGAGTTCCGAAAAGGCTCAGGAAATTCATTTTCTGGGCATTCACAAACACTGCAATCTCGCAAGCGGCACATACCATCATCAGGCCAGAAAGGGCAGTCACACCAAAGTTTCACCTAACATATGAAAGAGCACATAACATGAGGTCCAACAAGGGAACAAACTCACAAAACATATATATTCCATTAACCTTATGCAGGAAGTATAGGAAGCATATATGGGCCACAGGCCGAGTTCACTTCAAGCTGGCACATTGTGGTCAGTTGAACTGCAAGCAAACCATGCACCTAAAAGTACATATAAGTAGTACAAGTCCAATATGATTGTATTCATATGCAAGGATGAACACATGTAGGTTAGAAAAATTGGTTACTGCTTTGAAACGACATCCGCTCTTATATGGGTTACCAAGTAATATTTTCTTTTCCATTTTCCTTTTTCCACATCAATACTCATTGATCAAAGATCTTTTTCCCTTGCTACCATCATTAGAGAAACATGTTTTTTTTTTAATAGGTCATCTTTACAAAGTTTATCTTGTACTTCAACAAAATATTTTTCACCCAATTGATTCCTCTAGCACACTGGCGTGATCAAATTACTGGTTTCAGTAAATAAACACATTAAACAGCGAGAAAGGAAGTATCAACAACATGTGATTGTGATGTAACGCCTCTTATAGCTGCAGAGACAAGAGACTTCACAGACCTTAAAGTATCTGAAAAAAGGAGTTCTAACAAGCTCCCGTAGCAGAGGATGCAAAACCTCTCCATTTAGACTATCCACCGTCTCATACTCGCAGCAACAGTCCTCAACAACGCCAGTATACTTCTGCTGCACTTCCTGCATGCGCAACAACGAAGCACAAAAAGTTAAGCAACAAATCGCACAGAACGGACAATCGGTTCACCTCCAATCCAAGCCAATCCTTCCCTGTCTAGCTCGCGACACAGTCACAGTCCCAATCGAATCACGACTCAAACTCGAATACAGCAACACCAACGGAAACGCACGATTCAAAACCGGCACAGGAGCATCGGAAGACAGTGAAACGAAAAAAAAAGAAAAAAAAAAACGATCGCGATTCACGTAACCGCAGGATCTTTTCACCTCCAGCCACCACCGCGCTCCGCCTACTCCTACCGGCGCGACGGGAAGTCCCGTACTCAAACGGCGAGTAAAGATCGGTCCACGCAAGAGCAAACGAGCGCGCGCGCGAGCGAACCGACCGAACGACCGGAAAGCGAAAGACGAGAACGGCGCACCTGCGGGCAGCGACAGGAGCGATCGGTGAGGAGGGCGACGATGCTGGCGGAATTCCTGGAAGACACCGCGGCGGCGATCAGCACCGAGACCAGCGGAGCGAGCACCGCGCACGAGCTCCATCTCCGCCCGCTCCCCTTCGCGCGATCGGCCTTCTCCGCTCCGACCTCCGCCGCCTTCGCCATCTCGGTATCCCTCGCCGCCCTGCAGGAAGAATCGCCCCGCCCCCTCCGAGAAACGCTGCGCCTCTTTCGGTGGAAGGAGGCCGGAATATGGAAAATTTAATAATAATAAAAAAAAAACGGCCCAAAAAATTCAATTAATTGCATCCGTAACGATATTGATCGGGACTGAGAGCAAGAGCCAAGCCTGTCGACGTGGTCTGAACGATGCATGTAAGGTTGCGACATGGGTTCGAAAAAGCGCGCGACACGTGGCGGGTTGCGGAGGCGTGTAGCGACGTGCCGCGAGTAGGGTAACGGAAAAGATAATTTAATCGTCGAATTGAATAACCGACAAAATTAAAAAAAATAATTAAAAAATCGACGGATTGACAATTTCAGTGTAGCACGTGCCACGCGGGAAGGTCAACGCGGGAGCGAGTTCTATAATTTCGGTGACGTGCCGGGACCAATGGGAGCGCGAGTGATTGAGACGCGCGCGCGCAGCTTCTTCTCCGTAGTCCTCCGCAACTTCGTGCGACGTCGTTGCGTTGACCTGGGCCGACGTCACTTCGGGCTCTCTTTTCTGGTCAACGAGGACGGTCCCTTTCGGTTCGGATTAATTAGACTCGGCCCGCCGCATCGAGCTCTCTCTTGCATTCCGAGCATATTACGAAAATTTTATTATCAGAATTTTGGCCATTTATCTACATTTTTTTCCCTTTAAACTTACTTTTATCAACATTTTATTATTTACGGAATTGATTTCCCAAGGAAACTACAGGGTGCAGATTGCACCGTTGCTCTACCTACCAACGGTGCTAACGATGCAGTTAGCTAAGCATTCTCCTTTTCACTATTGCCGCATCGGTAAATTTTCTAAAGACCTAGTAATGGCACGATATTATTGGGGTCTAGAGCTGGATGCCTCGCTCATAGGAGAGAGCATGTGTGCTAGGGTAAAACCTAAAACTTGATAATTGAACTAGTAGAAACATTCGATTTCAGATTTCAAAATATGTAAGATAGGTTAGGTTCTAAGAATTAGGAAACCTATTACGACGTGTAAGTTTTAGGTTCTAGGTAGGTGGAATCTGGAATCCGAAACAAGTTTTTGTGTTCTTTGCACAGTCCTGCGGTATTTTATAACGTCCGATGAATAGTGTATTATCTTGAACCACTTCCATTTATGATTTAGACTTTTATTTGGTTAATATTTTATATTTTTCGTGTGTCTAAATATAAATTGTTGTCAGTGGATTGTAGTAACAAATAGTAGTCATTAAAGGTGATAATTCATTACAATCGTTCAATTAATAATGCAGATGGAACCTAGGTAAATCCTAAAACTGACCTTAGAACTTGTGACAGAGTAGGTTCCAAGTTCCAAGATATGCATGATAGGTTCCAGATTCCAAAAAATGAGGAATCTGTTCCCACGAGTAGGTTTCAAGTTTCAGGTGGAACTTATACGAAACCTGGAATCGCTTACTCCTACTCGCTCAGATCAAGAAAATCAAGAATTCGCGCTAATGTTTCAGTTATGTCAACTAGATTGCTTTCATCTGACCGGCCACTCACAGTCACGATCAAATCATCGCAAGGATCCCATCATTGATTTCACGATTTTTCTTCTCCTTCTTTTTTTTGGTTTTTTTTTGTTTTGGAAGTGGAAAATATGCTAGGAGAGTAGGTAAAAAAGCTTGAGGAGGGGGCAATTTTCCAAGTGCAAAGGTGATGGGCCATGTCCACATGTCACCGGCAAAAGGCGAAAGCCCATTTGAAGATGGGCCTACTTGCAACCGAGGAGAGCGCATCTTCTCTTTTTCTGTGGTCAACAAAAGCAAACAGGTTTGTAACACGCCAATCACATGGATGACCTTGTCCAGACACTGATTCTCTGGCTGTTTTTAGAGACACGAGAGGCAGGAAAGGACTTGGAAACTGGAGAACCAGAGGCATATTCTTCCGAACGGAGCCATGGGAGGGTCGCCATGCCCGGAGCGATTCACGTTGAACTGAGCAATTTGAGTTTTGCATGGCCCAGAACACGAAGCATGTACTCATGAGTTCAACGACTCCAAGCAATCCAACAAACTATGAAGCAACTCATTAAACTTATGTTTAGTTAGGTCATGTTCTCTTTCCGGATCTTTGGGGCTAATGCAAAGATGAAATTGCAAAATATTCTTATCGTCTGATAGGTGTCGTTATCTATTATTTCCACGGCTACCTGTAAAGTTCAAGCTATCAAACTACACTATGAGGATTGCACTTTATATTGAATACATGCGATGCGTATGCGAGAATCGTGAAACTTTAGATGACGGGCAAGGGCAATGTTGGGTGTTGATGTGACCCAATATGTCTAAATGCCCGCTTACGGTCTACCATGTTACTTAGCATAAAAACTGTGTAGATCAATCTTACAAAAATTTGCACTCCGTGTAATGGACTTCACCTGAAAGTATACTTATTCCGGGATCACCGGCCCAAGTTTCTTGGCTTCTATTCAGATCACGAGGATATGATTTATCTCTCCTCCATCCTCTGACTTCATTACCTAAAAAGAGTGGTTAGAGAAAGAGAGAGAGAGAGAGAGCAAGAGACAGATGAATGATAACTGAAATAACTATGCAAATCAAGTTGTGGAAGTTGTGGGCGTCTGCTTCCATTGCATGGTGTGTAGGTTGTGTGCTGTTGGCTTGGACTCGTTCTAACCCCTCTTCATTCGGGAGCCTAACGAAGACGCCACCATCAATCAGCATCTCTCTCTCCACTTATAATTTGCTTGTCGATTTTGACTTATGCATCGCATGAACGATCCAAACAGAAGCTTCAGCCAACTGTATCATCTGCTACATTATTACCCGATTTATTCCCTTTTTATTCAGGCGTTCCTAACTTGGCATCTCTTGATTCCATCTTTATAATCCCCAATGCTCACTATACCTGGTCCATGCTCTATCTCTCTATATCTCTCTTCCCAAATGCGTTCTTGCACACCGAACAAATCACGTTTCGGTAACGGTAACATTCACGTCGAACCTCGTCGGTTAATAAGACATGCACCCCACACATGTTCCGCGTTATGATCGACTTGACTTATGTACTATATAAGATATTGTCTCTCATTAGGTTGAAATAGAAGGGTTCATTTTTTTTTTTGTTGGCATGGGATCTAAGTTAATGATTAGGAGTACTTTCTAATGATAATAAAACATTTGGAGCGGATCGATGCATGTGGCAATGTGGAGAGGTGAGAGGAAGGCTTGGGGGCACCAACATAAAACTTATGTTTATTAATTGAATCCCCAATGATTAGGGTTCAAGGCCCCCAAGTTCATTTGATGCAGTCGATTTGTGGATGGATACATTGCATCCGGAAGAAGCTGAGACTAGAAACCGGAGGATGTCTTGAGCCTAGCTTCTTTTTCCGGTGCATGCATTGTACATATGTACACATTCACGACATTGCTACTCTTTGAAAAGCTTCAGATGATGCCCCCCACGTTGGACAGGATCCTTAATCTCCATTTGTTGTCTCCTTATGACACTCCAATCATCCCCCTCGTCGATCCCCACATGCAATTGTCCATTGAATTCGTGATCTAATACATCGCGGTTGAGATTGTCAGGGCACCGATCACGACGCCGCATGGAAAGAGAGAACCCTTAATTTCACGATGCTTCGTTCAAGCATAGTCTGGTAGGATAGAGCAATCTGCGATATCGTTCTTCTCCTTCACTATCAATTAGCCACATCACATTGCTCGATGGCTCGTACCATAGATCGATTTCGGAGTTCGGAGACATGGGTAGAGCCCCCTTTTGGGTTAGTGTTCATTGAATGCCTTATTATTAGGCGAATTGCCATCATTTATCCATTGGAGAACGAGCCCTAAATCAAACTTTACATGTTATATGACTTGATTGCGGGCCTCAGCTATGGAAGGGGAGGCTCATGCTCATGAAAATTAACAAAAACAAACACTACACATGGGGAAGTCATAAGAACAAACATGGTGCCATGTCCATCGCTGCTGTCACGTGCTGTTGCCACAGGTCTGTGCTCTAAAGTGCAATCATGCACGTAGTTTATAAACGAATTAACTCAAATGAATTGTCAAAGCTTGCATCATGTGATTTAGTTTTTATATTTCGATATCGAAAATTGTAAATATAGGATCATCATCAACTTTTGTACCTAACAACTTTGTAGCCCATACCTTACTGTCGACTGCATTAGGATGAATGTCTTCAGCGGTTCCTTCCTCGTTGTCGGCAAAATTCTATTGTTGAATTCTACAAAAATACAATTTTTTGTTCTAAATTTTGATAAGTGTTGGTAAGTGTCAAAAAAATATTGATAAAAATATAAACGGGGACTTTTTTTTCCATGTGACTTTATAGTAATGAGAATCGTACTAAATACATTGATGAAACCTACCATTATGCTTATTCTATGTCTGGTAAGAGATTAGTAATATTCACCTATTTGTTTTTAATTATCACCAAACAACATTGTGATTATATTTTCAGCACTTAAAAATATCAGTTTTACCAAATTGGCCCTTAGTTAGCAACCCCTCACATTGACCAACTCTTTTTAGATGTTACCAACTTAAATTAGAGGGGTTCACCAACTTTTCTCTCATTAAGCTATCACATAGCATTAGGTTATCGATTGTCATTTGAATTTAGTGACTAAAATTCATCTTCTTGACTGGACAGTACATTTGTCTTAGTTTTCATAATTTTACGACATAATTCCCTCCAAGGGATCACTTCAAAAGTGGATGAGCAATTCTCATCGAATGATTAACACCTTATAACAATTAATTTTCACTTTTATACTTGTTTTCCAGAGATGCGATCCAACATTACTTATGATCAACACATGATGGACGAAAGTACCAGGTGGGGGGAGTGACCATCGGGGAAGCAGGGACGAATGTCAGAAAGAAAATTCAAACGGCCTTTCGCAACATATCAACACGTGGTGATGGGCTTTCTGAGAAGCACAGGCGACTGGAAACTGCATGCGATTGCATTAAAAATTAAGGCACGACTAGGCAACTATACAAACGTCAGTTGATGATCTTTCAAACCATCTTTTTATCGT